CTTTGTTATAGTAAAATGAGGGTTTGGTGTATTGTTTATGTGTTGACAGAATTGTCAGAATAGTATTGTAATCACTTGGAGTTGAGTCTATCATTTATAATGTTATACTGATTTGATACATAGATGAGATTAATATACCCCAAATATGGCCCAAACAATGTTCACCTCACACATGATGTGCTTTAATGAATTTATTATTTCTAACTGATTAGTATGATACTGGTTGCAGATGAGACTCACATAATCTGATTCCAATATAGCATTTTAACTACAAAATGTTTTATATTATTATTTTGAGATTAAATATCTTTTAGTCTGAATGCTGTTTAATGACATGCAAGACAAAACACTGGATTCTGTATATAAGCTGTTCTTCAGGTATGTGCTGTGAAACTCATATCCAGTTCTTTTGTTATTGTACACTATGCACCACTTAAACCTAATGACTAGGTGGCCTCACAGAGAGATTTATACTTGTTAAACTGCAGCTGCTCAAAAGGCTACACTGAAGCCGACGTGAGCCTCGTTAAAAATATAACTACTAGGGCTGCAACTAATGATTATTTTACATTATTTATTAATCTGCTGATTATTTTTACAATTTTTTAATTGACTGTTTAATCATTTCAAGGAATCAAGGAAATGTATTCATATTTATACAACACAAGACTGTATGACGAAGGTTTGTAGTTTCTTCATGCTACACAGCAGAGTTCTGTTGGCTCGGAACACGGTCCGCCTGTTGAGTGTTGATCCAGGATATTGATGGAGCGGGTCTCTGTAAAGATGTGGGCACAACAGTCTCAGATTTTCCCTGTTTTCCCTGTTTGGCTAGGTTGAGTCCCATTTCGTCCAAAATCGGACATTAGCCAGGAGCAGCCTTACGTCCAAGCTAGGCCAGCATGGCAGCACCCGCTGTGGTGGAGCTGGTCCCACCCGGTCGATCTGGCTGGGTGGATTGCTGTCAAGGTCCGCTGCTCTTGAATTCAAACCCCTCTCGTTCTCCGTTTCTGTCTAATGTAATACGTGTTTCAGCAATAAAGCCAAAAAACTGGTTTGAAGGAACTACCCTTCCAGTCGCAGCATCTGAATGCGCCGCTGTTGTCATAGTCAAAATCTTCTGAATCTATTTGATTGGAACAATTTGGCTCAGCTCCTTAAAATCAACCCAATCAGACATCATTCAATTATGTTCAGCAACAAAGCTGAAAAAATAAAAATAAAAATACAGAACAAAAATATTGCATGTTTTGTAAGAGCTGCATCTACAATTTCCCAGAGTCCAAAGTGACGTTTTCAGATTGCTTACAACCTTGCATGTAAAAAGCTGTAACCAGCTGCTTGAAAAATGACAGAAACGGTTATGGATTTTCAAAATAGTTGGCAACAAATTTTCTTTCAATCAACTAACCGATTAATAAACTAATTACTACAGCTCTAATAAATACACATCAGGGGTTTCAGCTATTATGGGATCCCTGGAAGATCAGAGCATGGTGAAGGCTCTGTTTTCCTTTTTCAGTAACAAAAAGTGATCTTGAGTACACATGTCTATGCACTGATTCAATATCATGTAATTTATTAGCCCCAAAAAATGTTTTCAAGGATGGCGAAGTCATGACCTACCCTACTGTGACTCTGATTGGTGTACCCTGATGTTCTTATCGTAACCCTAACCAATCTCACTCCTCATGCCTAAACCTACCCAACCCGAACCAAAGGGCAACAAGCACTAGTCAATCTGAGTCAGAATAGGCGTCATGTGCGCTGTGCTGCCACTGATGAAGAGTTTGTTTCCGGTGGTGTAATGTTATATGAAAACAATGGCCAATATACTGTGATTGATTTTTTTAAAACTCTAATATTGGTATCAGAAATCAGAAGAATATGACTCAGTCCTCTCAAATCTTCTCTGTCATTGACTTCCTTCAGCAGAAGATGAATGACTTTTGCTGTGTTATTGTCTGGACAGAATCACTATACCTCCTTGTGTTGTGGCATCAGCTGTGAAGCCCTTTCACGTCTGTAAGTGATCCAGAAAGCACCAGCTAGGCTCTTGTCAATCTCAACACATTTTCCTTTACTGGCCTCATGTCACCCTGGCAACAGTGCTCTCTGCATGTTCTCCCTCTGCAGTGTGTCTGATCTCTGCTGTGCCTCATGGCTCTTCTCATTAGGAATGATTGCACTTTTGCTATTTCAACCCCTAGACAGTGCAACACAGTTTTTAAAATGTGAAGTTAGCAAAACAGGTTTTTTTAACAACATCCCACTTTCCACCATGGGACTATCTGATTATTTTGAATATTGTAATATGATTTTTCTGTACTGTTCTATTTTTTTGCTGGTATGTTATTTTTTTATGTAAAGCCCCAACAAGAAAACATTTAGTTGATTGTGGTGACCCCTGTGGACAAAAGTGGTAATGTTTCTACCACCTTGTTTCATCGATTTTGAAGGGGAATCTGCAGCTACACCGCTGGATGCCACAAAATCCTACACACTGGACCTTTAAGAATATCTATATAGAAATAGCTTTTCAATGATGGTCTTGTTTGCTTATGTAGGTCATATAGAGGTGTTAGTATTAAAATACTAGGTATTAAGTTTCTTAACCACTGGAATAGTGGAAGACAACAGTCCTCAAGTATTCATTTCAACCAAATGGTTGTTGGTCTGTTGCTTCAGTTCCTCTGCTGCATTGTGTCTAAGTTGACAGCAGCTTACATAAAGGTTAGGGTTAGCCTGTATGTGTATTTATGTATTTCAGCAAAGCCTAGGTTTCAGTGGAGAATCTGGACGATTGTTTAAATAGTATGTCAGAAGTTTTTCTGTCCTGTCCAAGAATAACATGTCAAGAATATTGTTAGACTTAAAGTAACTGAATACCAGGGCCAAATGTACAGCTGCAATGTTGACACCATATCAGTTCTCAACAACTTGTATTCACTGAACTGTAATACTGACATTACAGAAAACATAATCTTCATTTGCATATGTTACTATTCCCAAACCAATATAAAATAGTTTCATATCTCTTAAAGGAAGCATTTCAAACCCTCCACAGACTTACTGACTCTCAGTCAACAGTATTTCCCACTTCCAGGCACTGCGCTAACATTTTACTTTCCTCTATGGTTTGGAAGCAAATACTAGGTGTCTTTTTAACTAACACACAGTTATTAAACTTCTTTTAAAACCATAGCCAGCTCTATGCATCCATCTCCTCTCAGTGTAACTAACACACACACACACACACAGGGCTTTTCATAGAGTGCCACAAAGAGCTCACAGTGTATTCTGCTGAATGAACACAGGGCCAGCAGTAAAGGCCAAGGCCCGCCACAGCACGGGCTGTATAAATGTGTGTCTTTGTGACTGTTTAGATGTGAAGAGAGGTTAAGAGGAGGTGTGTTATGGGTGCTTGTGCTAGTGTGCATGCTGTTGTGCCACATGTCTTCACAAGAACAGCATTTCTGTAAAAGGGGGGACGTGTTGCTTATGAAGAAGGCTAGTTTAGGGTTTAGATTTAGATTGAGGTGAGAATAAGATACACAGAGGTTTGGATGGACAGCATTCTAGCACAACTATCACTTGATGGATAATTTGACTATCAGGGACTTAGATCTTTGCCTTTTTGGGGAAATATTGGATAGTTTGACCTGTTTGGGATTTCAGCTTGCATTAATGCCATTGATCAGGGGTCTGTTTAAAATGAATCTACACCAGGTTAGTTTAGCCTAGCTTAGCAAAGACTAGTGTACGAACAACACATTATGGAGTTACAGGGGTGTTGTGCTAGACTATTTCTTAACCAGAAGCAGTGACTACTCCTACTAGTTCATCAAATAAGAAATAATGTATTAATCAGTAGTCAGCTGGTTACCTTTAGACAAAGCCAGGCTAGCTATTTCCCTCTGTTTCCAGGCTGTCATTACGGTGTCATAGAAAACCTGGAACCGTAAAGATGAGTTTTCCAGTCATGGAAATTGAATAAAATGACCAAATATTCTGGAAATAATCTATGTTGTCCTGGAAAATTTTAATTGTATTTTAGCCCCTCACTCAGAACACCTATGTAAACTTCACCAGACACAAAACAGACGTTTTTTCCAGAACCGTGTTCAGAATTCTCAGAGACTGTGGATGTGCATATGTACATGCATACAGCCTATTAATTATCCAACTTACATTACTTCCAGCATGCACAGCGATGTTAATTGTAGGTCCAACAAACACTTTCACTTTCTAGAAGATGGATTTTCTGTACCTCCACCTAAATTGAACTGTTACTTTTGGGCTGTGGCCATAACCTGTAATGGGTTTTTTAATACATTAAAAAAGGAGGAATAAAACTGGGGTTTAATGTGTCAATACCAGCCCTACCAGTAAATTGTTACGTATCATATTGTCAAGAAGCATTCCTGGAAAATGTCCTGGAAAGGTGCTTGAGAATGATTTCTTAAAAAGAGTGGGAATCCT